AAGACTGCAAGTCCATACAAATGCGATGAATACCCATGATTTCATGTTTATATTGTACACCAACATCGTCTTGATTATTTCTTATAAATAAAATATGAAACTACAACTTTATAATATGAAATACAACGTGAAATTGTTGCATTTGTATTGACTTGCGTCTTGCGCAACTAATTATAATCGACAATGCGGACTCCCGCTGGTCGTAAATAATACGGCTTAATGGCGATAGCTTTCTTTCTATATTTGATACAAAACTATGACTTTCGCACGTGTTGCGGACAAGGTTACAATACATAAGCAACGATAATTTTATGCTACATAGATAAAGCACAACACAAACTTGATAGTCATAACTTGATATACCTACATTAACACGAATATTCAAAATATATTTAAATAAATACGCACAGTTACGGAATAAATTGACATAAAACGCAAAATATTTACTTTGTTTAGCCATCTAGACAACAAAGCAAGTTAGATTCGTTTAGTACAAGATGCTATGTATAACATTAAACCAAAATGGCAATTGGGAAAAGCGATTTTATGAGTCCGCACAATGGGTTTCCATTTAACCTGTGTTTATTGACGTTTTAGGCTATATAACTGCTCATGTGAAGAACGAATAATAAAATAAAAATAGGTACGCGACGCGTACATGTATCTGCGAAAAAACTTGATTCACATTTTGTATTTTCTTGAAAGAAACTGAATAATGAAGATGGCATGGGACAATTGATATATTTCATCACTTATTATAATGGCAGATAAGATTTAAAACAGGGCTGTACACAGCGGGGAGTGCAGCAGGGCAAATGCTACCCCCGCCCCTGCACCGAAAAAATTTCACTAACTTTATAATGTGATTATGATTGTAACAGATAATTATGCAGTCAGGAAATAAAAATTTCATGCAAACTATATTCAAAGTGTCTATACAGCAGGCTATTTAGTAAACTGTCACCTGTCAATTCAATCCATACTCATCAAATTTTCAAAACTTTATTGTAATCATATGAAGCAAAAGTTATGTCACTTGTTGTTTACACTTGCCAATGTTAACTGTTGAGTAACATACACAAAATATTTGGTGAACATGTCGAAGACCACTGAATAATTAAGAATGTTTTGAAGGTCATGAGTGAAGTATATAATTAAATTCCAGTTCTGTGCACAGTAAATGATATACCACACTGTTCGGTTTAACACGTACAGCACATTCACACAAAAACAATCGTGTTGTGGGAGATTATCGGTTTGAGTAGAAGGTATCACAAGTTTAGTTTTGTACATCGTGTGCCATTGATCAAATCTACCATATAATAAATGATTACTCATTGTAGCTGTTAAATTATTTTCCATACTAATGATATTTTCCATAATAATTTAACAAATTATCCAGCCAATATCCAGTACATTTATTCTTCATTCTTGTATTAATCTCTAAAGAAAAATATTGATGTTAGAAAGCAAAATGACAATGTAATGAGGCTCGGGAAGGTGAGGATTCTTTTATTTGAAAATGTTTGTAAAAAGATTGTTTATAAATTACTGTAAAACCAAAATGTATAAGTATTTTAACTGATAACATATTCAACCTTTGCTCTAACACTACATTTGATGACAGCTTTATAGTTGGACTGTTGTTTTGAACAGAGTTATGGAGTCAATATACAGAAATACAGGACCAGGATTTAATTCAATATCTCCTGAGAATGTTTTCACTGTTTAAAATATTACAGAAGTCACAGAAGGATTGTTTTTAATACTGTCTAAATCTTTTTGCGAACTATGTTGATAAATGGCTAAAAATATCCTCGAAAATATCCAATATTTTATACAGTGTAATATATTAATAAAAAAATTCCAGAGTGCATTCCATGTAAACTCTACGCCGAAGATACGGCAATATTAACTAAAGATAGTTGCTGCCGAGCGAAGCGATGGCAGCCACCTATTCTTGACAACGTTTACAGTTTTTACTCGTGCCAGATCCCCGCGCGACTTATGTATTTTAGCCAAAGCATTTGAGATTTGTTTGTCGTTCGTTCGTTCGTTCGATCATTCGGGTCGCATTTTCTGACGTCACAGAATTCGAATGACGTTGTGTACAAAATTATATACGCAGGAAGTTTACGATAACAATCCGATCACTTCCGAAAGCTGCGTTCGGTGCGCCGTAGCTTCATAGGAGCTATGACATTTAATTTTGACATGACCATATGGCAATGTCGCATATTTTTCCATTGCACGAGGCTTATTTCACAATATTACTATTTGATTTTGGAGGAAAACTATCAAAAGAATTATATTTTTGAAGGTATGTTGATAAAAATAGTTATTTGAACGTTTGAATACTTTCATTTATATATGTAAATGAACGTGATAGTCTTTTTATATTAAAAATACATTATAAAAATTCGAATTCTATCTGACTATCTCCTCTAGGTGTATATTTTGTTGTGTGTTCGTGGCGATCATTTGGTCAAATCAAGTCAAAATTAAAGGAGCCGTTCATATTATGTTTTTCAAAAAAGCAGTGAATTGGGAACTCTGTGTAACTGTACCAAACTTGCTAGCTATGTGTGAACTAGCTATATTTTATACTTTATACTAGCGAGGTTGTGATCTTGCTAGCTGGGCAATCGTCGACGGTTGGCAATAATAAAGTTGTATCACTTGTATACTGACTCTGTCAAAAGATCAAGCCAACAAGGTATTGTATATCAAATTTTACAAATATGTAGGTTGTATGTAAATTAGAAAATTGTCAATAAAAATAATTGCCCAAATTTCAGGCTAGTGGTTCTTAACCTACTGGTTCTTTTATGCGAGGGCAAGGCTTTACTGTAATGTCTGTATATCAAATCAATAGACCTTATGCATAATGACGTCTTAAGGCTTGATGGCCAAGAAAATTTCGATAGTGGCCATTTTGGATTGTTTAATTTTCCTGGGCGATTACTACTAAAGTCCTGGGCAAACTAGGAAACGCTGTTGCGGACGAACAGGCGTGGACGAACAGGGTGGGTGAACAGGGAAACGTCTGAGGAAACATCGAGAATCACAAATGTTTCTGCAACGTTTCCTAGTTTGCCCATAGCTTAAGACCAGCATTCCTCGCAGGCATCAAGCCTTGTGACATCATTATGCATAAGGTCAAATGAGCAGTATGATGTCCAAATTGTAACACACAATTGTACACAAATGAAAAATTATTTGACTTTTTCCATAATGCTCACAATTTCTTTCTTATTATATAGTTTTACAGTTCTGACTGAGTGAATGGTGTCATATGAAGCTGACATATTAAACAATTGGCAATCTTAATCATTTACAGAATGAATGGTGTCATATGAAGCTGACGTATTAAACAAAAAAATGTCAACAAAATAGATTTTGTCTCCCCATCGGCAGATTGTTCTGTTGTTCTGCGGTAGTGTTAGTTTTGAAAGTACCATTAAAATGATATGCAATCTTAATCATTTACAGAATGAATGGTGTCATATGAAGCTGACGTATTAAACAAAAATGTCAACAAAATAGATTTTGTCTCCCCATCGGCAGATTGTTCTGTTGTTCTGCGGTAGTGGTAGTTTTGAAAGTACCATTAAAATGATAATTGAGGCAAAAACTGACTTACTGGTAGTATTTCTATGTATGAAATTGTTATTAAATTCTGTATATCAAATGATTCATTTAAGTATTAATTATTATCATTTGTTATATATGATATTGTACAGTATTCAGTGGCAAGCTAGCCATGGCAACTGGTTATGATATGCCAATAAACCTGCATCAATTTGAATAATGCAAATCATTAAAAACTTGCATAGCATGACCTGTAGACTTTCACAAAGTCCTTCATCTTTGTTTAGAACGAAGGAATTTTCAAGGAAGTAATTTCTTGAAGAGTAGGGAATTTGTGGAAGTCAATACAATTGGAATATTTAGCTGAGCTTCGATTTTGTGCAAAGTGTTTTCATATTCAGATTGCACTTTTTCTACCACCTGAACAGGTGTCTTAGGGGTGCTTTTCGTGTTTATGTGATGGAAGGGGGGGGGGGGGCAGGCAGCACTTTCCTTGCGATAGTAATTTCTAGTATAGTAAATATTTGCCGAACTCGTGTATTATAAAATATGTGGACATATATTTGCACAAATTTGGTATTTAAATATATAATATGTGGTATTTGACTACTTACCAGATGAGGATAAGATTCCATGTTGATAAATAACTTCGCAATAAAAAAAAGATAGCCAATTCAAGATAAATTGATAAAAATATCAAGATATTTTTGAAACAATAACACGATTTATACACGAGGCCTGACGAGGCTAAAGTATGCCCGTTCGCAGGTTAGATGCGGGCACGACGTAAACAATTGATGTAAACGAATCGCTGATTGGTTTAAATTGGCTTAAATTATATAAGCTCGTCGCTGAATGGCTATCTGCTAACATACGGTACGGTACGGTCACGGCACGTTTGCGATAGCATATATATCTGCTTCACAGATACAAAAATAGGTACGCGACGCGTACATGTATCTGCGAAAAAACTTGATTCACATTTTGTATTTTCTTGAAAGAAACTGAATAATTAACTAAATGAAGATGACATGGCAAGTGCTCCCCCACCACCCCCGCACCAAGAAAATTTAACTAACTTTATAATGTGATTATGATTGTAACAGATAATTATGCAGTCAGGAAATAAAAATTTCATGCAAACAATATTCAAAGTGTCTATACAGCCGGCTATTTAGTAAACTGTCACCTGTCAATTCAATCCATACTCATCAAATTTTCAAAACTTTATTGTAATCATATGAAGCAAAAGTTATGTCACTTGTTGTTTACACTTGCCAATGTTAACTGTTGAGTAACATACACAAAATATTTGGTGAACATGTCGAAGACCACTGAATAATTGAGAATGTTTTGAAGGTCATGAGTGAAGTATATAATTAAATTCCAGTTCTGTGCACAGTTAATGATATACCACACTGTTCGGTTTAACACGTACAGCACTTTCACACAAAAACAATTGTGTTGTGGGAGATTATCGGTTTGAGTAGAAGGTATCACAAGTTTAGTTTTGCACATTGTGTGCCATATTGATCAAATCCACCATATAATATATGATTATTCATTGTACAGTAGCTGTTAATTTAAGTTATTTTCCATGAATTTAGGTAAGATTGTCTTGCAAGTTGGTTGGTCTGACAAAATTATCCAGCCAATATCCAGTACATTTATTCTTCATTCTTGTATTAATCTCTAAAGAAAAATATTTATGTTAGAAAGCAAAATGACAATGTAATGAGGCTCAGGAGGGTGACCGCTAAATTCTCTTATTTGAAAATGTTTGTAAAAATTTTGTTTAATTAACTCTAATGTGTAAAACCAAATAAAATGTATAAGTATTTTAACTGATAACATCTTCAACCTTTGCTCTAACGATTCTTTTATTTGAAAATGTTTGTAAAAATTTTGTTTAATTAACTCTAATGTGTAAAACCAAATAAAATGTATAAGTATTTTAACTGATAACATCTTCAACCTTTGCTCTAACACTACATTTGATGACAGCTTTATAGTTGGACTGTTGTTTTGAACAGAGTTATGGAGTCAATATACAGAAATACAGGACCAGGATTTAATTCAATATCTCCTGAGAACTGTCCAATAGGTTCCTTTGATACTGTTAATTGGCAATATTGCCTGCTATGTTTTCGCTGTTTAAAATATTACAGAAGTCACAGAAGGATTGTTTTTAATACTGTGTAAATCTTTTTGTGAACTATGTTGACAAATGGCTTATTAAAAAGGAAGTGGTTATAGGTCCGACATTTCCTTAATAGTTAAACTCTTTAACTATAAAACCGTGTAAATTTAATTGAATTTCAAGCAAATCCTCCGTAGTGTTGTGGTTTTAGGTACCTGTATTGCGTGCGCCAGGCTCTGGGATCGAATCCTGCTCGCCCCATTATTCTATTATTTTTTTTATACTTTTTTTTCTTCGTGATTTTCGCGTACGAAACCGTCGAAACGTATAGCGTATAGAATAATATGTTGTTGCTTCGTTCTTAAAAAACAACGCAACCATTTAGTGGTGTAGTGTTAGCTTTTAAAGCGTTGTCGGACCTTTAGCCGTGAAGCAAGAAGGTCCGGTGTCGGACCTATAACCACGGCGTATTAAAAATATCCTCGAAAATATCCAATATTTTATACAGTGTAACATACAGTATAAAGCCTGCCGCACACGAGAGCTATCTGCTGAGCCAAAAGTTACTCGTGCCTGTTAGCTCAGCCGATAGCTCACCGATCAAACATGTTTGATACGTGAGAAAAGGTTGCATGAGGCAAAAAACTCAGTAAAATGTATCCGCACACGGTGAGCTATCGGCTGAGCTAACAGGCACGAGTAACTTTTTGCTCAGCAGATAGCTCTCGTGTGCGGCAGGCTTTAATAAAAGATTCCAGAGTGCATTCCATGTAAACTCTACGCCGAAGATACGGCAATATTAACTATAGATAGTATAGTAAATATTTGCCAAACTGGCAAGTGGCAACTCATGTATATTTATAAAATATGTGGGACATATATTTGCACAAATTTATAATATGTGGTATTTGACTACTTACCAGCTGAGGATAAGATTCCACGTTGATAAATAACTTCGGAATAATATCGCAAGTAGAATGGCGAGAGAAAAAAGCCAAGATAAAGCCAAAAAATTCAAGATAAATTGATAAAAATATCAAGATATTTATATTTTTGAAAGAATATAAACACGATTTATACACGAGCACCACAGGCGGCCCAATCTCGCAAGGGTCAGTGTAGACTTTATATAGTATAAATATATATTATAGTAATGTATATTATAGTAAAAATATGCCATAAGATATAAATTTTAAAATGAAATTGACTTGCCTATTTGATAGTGTGTGTTCTGCTTTTATTCCTCCTTTGTTGGACTAATATTTTCCGAGACTGTGTACTCGATGTTACTAGTATACATGAAACATGATAAAGGCTAACTATTCCCGATCGTCGATACGACGGCACGGCACTTCGAATCGAAAATTCTCACATTCATATTGCTTTATTCTCCAAAATAATTCGCCAGCATGTACAACAAATGCCGTTCTTCGAAAATACGGTGGTACTTCGGCGAGATGTACAAGTTTTCGACCATATTTTAACAATGGAAATCAAAACCCATTTTATATTGAACTTACCCGGACCGAAAATTACTACGGCGAACGCCTGCGCAACCAGGCCTCCTTTACCGTTGGATTTACAGGGGGGAAGCAGATATTTCCGGTAACAGCCAGCCAATCGCGGCCGCGATAGCGACTGTTTACATTATTTGAAATTTGATATTCAAAATAAAAACTCCTTCGATCGGATACTGTATAAAACTCGAGATGTTGTCGAAGAAAAGAAAATTAAACGACGGAGATTGAAGAAATTTAAGGAAGAAGTAATATACAGCGGCTCTTTGTTGGAAAGTATGGTAGAATATGATACTTTAATTCGAAATATTATCGTTAATATATTAGTGGCATCCTCCCCCCCTGTAAATCCAACGGTAAGGAGGCCTGGTTGCGCAGACGTTCGCCGTAGTAATTTTCGGTCCGGGTAAGTTCAATATAAAATGGGTTTTGATTTCCATTGTTAAAATATGGTGCAAAACTTGTACAACTCGCCGAAATACCTCTGTATTTTCGAAGAACGGCATTTGTTGTACATGCTGGCGAAATATTTTTTGAGAATAAAGCGATTTGAGTGTGAGAATTTTCGATTCGAAGTGCCGTGCCGTCGTATCGACGATCGGGAATAGTTAGCCTTTATCATGTTTCATGTATACTAGTAACATCGAGTACACAGTCTCGGAAAATATTAGTCCAACAAAGGAGGAATAAAAGGAGAACACACACTATCAAATAGGCAAGTCAATTTCATAGTTTAAAATTTATATTTTATGGCATATTTTTACTATAATATACATTACTATAATATATATTTATACTATATAAAGTCTACACTGACCCTTGCGAGATTGGGCCGCCTGTGCGAGCACGAGGCCTGACGAGGCTAAAGTATGCCCGTTCGCAGGTTAGATGCGGGCACGATGTAAACATTGATGTAAACGAATCGCTGATTGGCTTAAATTGGCTTAAATTATATAAGCGCGTCGTTGTATATGGCTATGTGTTAACATACGGTAACATTACGGTACGGTCACGTTTGCGATAGCATATATATCTGCTTCGCAGATACAAAAATCGGTAAAAAATTCACCAGGTCAAAATCTATAACATTAAACCATGACAGGTTAAAACTAACCTTGTTTTCTTTTCAAAAATCGCGCCCAACTTGGTATACCCATATTTCGACCTTGGCTGAAACTTGACCCATGCATTAATCTACCTGAGTTCCAAGAACATGTCATATGGCAAAATGGACACGGCCGATCCTGTGTCTAGTTCCATGGATAGTGGTTGATTTTCAACTTTCACGTCAACCCATATGATATCACTGTTTGATTTGTTTACATTATGAACTTCTAGGCTATTCAACAAGTGTCCATACTCATCTGGTTCGGTCTCTATGGCCACAGTATAGGGATGAACAGTAGTGCCACTCAGGGTCAAAAAGTGTCCCGAGCTTTTAATTTAGGTCCCAGACCTTCTACGCGGCCAAAAAATCGGCAGCCAGTAAACACACTATATGACAGCCAGTTTTAATATATAAATAAAGAAGAAAGGTTTCGAGAAAACGATATCATGTCATAAATAATACATCGATTTTTACTCCTAAGCCATGGAAAAGAAAAGGAGGACACTTAGACTTACCTGGTTATGTTTCTTGCTGTTCAAAGGTGACAAGTTTTGAAGAATGAAACAATTTTGTCGAAGCGATGAGTGATGCCCGATGGAACACAAAGACTTTGATTAAAGTTATGCTATTTACTATTTAGTAGAGGTTTTTTCTAAAAATTTACATGTATTATGCTGCTATACCTGAAATATTTTTTTATTAACA